TCTGGCTGAACCTTGGGGGTGAGACTGCTGTGGTTGGGATCTCAGGTGTCCACCAAAGCCTATATGGTAAAGGCTTGGTCATCGGTCCATGGATCACTGAGGAGTGGTGGAACCTTTAGTGGACGGAGGCCTCTTGCAAAGCATCTTGGTCTGTGAGGGAGTGGCCCTGAAGGGGGTCCCAGGACCATAGGCCCTTTCCTTTCCCTCGGGAGTGGACCTTCTTCTCCACACACTGCTCACTGGACAGCAGCTGGGGACTGAGATCAAGGCCTCCCTGCTGCGGACAAGAGCGGCAACTTGCAAGGGTAGAGGTCCACCAGGTGTCAGAGCGTCAGAGCGCTAGATTCCCTGGAAACCCAGGCTGTGCCAGTGCTGCCTTCTCGTGGCGTGCATGTGGAACTGCAGCGCTGAAACCACAGGCTTGCCGGGCGCTGCGTGTTGTCGGTTCTGTTCTGTTCTGTTCGGTACTAGGTACTTCGTACATGCTAGGCGAGCACTGCACCACGCAGAGCTATATCCTCAAAAATTGTTTTTCTAATTTTGAAATTAGGTCTCTAAATTGTCCAGAGAGGACTCAAAATCGTGATTCTCCTGCCTCAGCTTTCCTTAGCGCTGGTATTACAGCCTCCCTAGAGCTGGAGGAGACCTCAGAGGTAGTTTGGTCCAATCACCTTTCTCCGGAAGGAACAGAGGCCCAGGGCAGGAAATGACCTTTTCCGAGTCTCCCACGGATTTAGCTCCTACCTCCGTTGCAGCTGAGTGCTGTACCTTACGACTCCCAAGCCCAGGACATGGGTGAGGACCTCTGAGAAGTCGCTCGTGAGTCTCTGCAGCTGTGGCAGAAACTTACTCCCCCAGCCGCGGGACTGGGGCTGCTCCAGGAAGAGGAAAGAAGGCCGAGCTGGGCCCCAGCTGCTTATGTCACATCCCGAGGCAAAGCTCTGGGGCCCAATTTTCCAGGCCCAAGTGCACAGAGAGGAGAGGTGGGATGGACGGCAGCTCCTAGGAACACAGGCTTCGGTGTCACCCTCTCCTTGTGGCCCACCTGCCGTCTTGAGGCTCCCCCCACCCAGGGCAGCGGTCCCCCCGTGACCTGAGCTGCTCAAGCCTCTTCCACTCTGAGCCAAGGCCACTACCTTCTCCCTGCAGCCGACACAGAGCTCTCTTCCTGGCCACTGTCAACCTTTGGGAGTGTCCGCCCCACTGCCCCATCGAGAGTGTGTGTGTCGGGGGGGGGGGGGGGGGAAGCTTTCTGTGCCCTTGGGTGTCACACAGAAGAATGCAAAGTCTGGAAGAGCAGCTGTGAAACCATAAGGGCCTGGCCCAGGAGGCAAGGGCTGGGCGAGGGGACAGAGCGAGGGGGACGGGGCGCGTGGGGAGTAGGAGGGTGGCGGCAGGAGGGCTGCAGGGCCTGTGAATGCAGGAAGCAGAGACACCTGCATCTTGGTGAGCTTTGGGGCAGGGGTCCGGCTTCCCCCCGGGGTGCATGCAGCTGGACCATGGTTCCTAGGCAGCCCCCGTGGGTGTGCATGGCCACATGACCGACTTCTAGCCCAAGGAACGAGGGCAGCACTGCAATGACAGCACCGTTCTTCAGTCTTCTTTGTCACCTCAGAGATGGCGCCCTGGTGACCTCGGAAACTACAGAGGAAGCTGGCAAAGTCGCTGTTGGTCTGGGCGTCCCACGACTTGGCAGAGTTGATACTCTCATCCACCTCGTCATTGAGAGACCCCCAGTGTGCACTAACTGGGACAGGAACAGCACAACCTTTGGGGTGTACAGTCCCTAAGCTGCAGGAGCTCCTCCAGCACAAGATAGTACACTAATATGAGTCTCAGTGTCTCCCCCGTGCTGGGGAGCCACCAGGGAGCTACCAGGGAATCTCAGGGCCACCAGGCGACCTCCGGCAGCCGTTCAGTGGCACCCTGACCCAGCAGGGCTGGATAGGCCGTGTCCTCCCCTCGAGCGTGCTGACCGGGCAGGGGCAGGAGCTCCGAGGGCTGCTGTGCCCTGCAGGTGGGACCAGCCCCATCTCCCGAAGGTCTACCCTTGCTGTGTGGGCAGGAACAGCCTGACATGGACGCTGAGGTCAGGCCAGCACCCTCTGCCACCTGCACCTTCAGCTATCTTTCCAAAGAGGCCACTTTCCTGGCGTGGAAGCCTCTGTGAGACCCCCTGGGGTCCGCCTGTGTCTTATCTCAGGGGAGAAGCTGGGGGCAGAGAGCTCAAGACATCGACGGAGGTGGCACAGAGGAGGAGTCACAGTGCTGGCTCCAGGACTCTCATGCTGTTTAAGGCCCCCCCCCCACCCCGCTTTTGAGACATTCTGTGCTTTGGTTTCTTGAAGACGACCTAAAACTAAAACTTTTCAGTTTTAATAACATATGCAGACATAACTCATATTGTTATCAAGGCAGTTTTTCCCAGATACACTGATCTCTTTTGATTCTTTTCACGTCTGTCTCTTCAGTTGGGGATATTTTTCATGTATCTACACAGTGACTGATCATAAATTCAGTCTTCCGACCATAGCCCTGCAGGACCGCAACGATCTTCCCTGCTGTTTACTGTCAAATCTCTTCTCATTAGACTGTACTGGCTTGCTCAGAGTGGCTTCTTCTGTTTTTAAATTTATTTTATTTTTTTATTTTTCGAGACAGGGTCTCACTGCACAGTTTAGGCTGGCCTTGAGCTCACTTTGTAGCCCAGGCTGATCTCAAACTTGCAGCGATCCTCCTGCCTCAGCCTTCTGATGCTGGATTACAGGCACCATGCCTGGCTATTTTATTTTCTTTTATAGAGGAAAAAATAAAAATTTTAAAACACAACAGTTAGGGGTAACAATGGTACACACACTGCGAATTGCTACCTTCAAATCAGAGTACAAGACAGCTGCATTAAATTATCCGAACAATTCTAGCTCAGGCCGTCTCCTCGGTGAGCTCAGGGAAACCGCAGGAGAGCCACTTACCTGTCTCTTATGAACTTAGCCCAGCGCCTCACCTGCCCTTTTCCGCTTCCTGGCCGTGTTCACAGTGCTTAATGATTGCTTCCCTCGTGGGAAGTCGGTGCCTGGATGTAAACAGCTCAGGGTTTCTACCCTTTCCCTTCCCTCCGACTTTTGGTCCCCTTCCCCTCTGAGAAAGATCTGTGTCCCCTTTTCCTGTCATCTACCTTTTATTTTGCTTCTGATTTGTATTTCTGTTTTTTTTTTTTTTTTTTATGTAGGGAACCAAGCGCTTTCCCTCTCGGAGCCGAGCTGTTACCTGTGAAGACTGCAGTTCTGATGGGTGGACGTGGCTGAGTCACCCTGAGCACCCCTCGCCTGGACCCTTGGGCCCGGCCTGAGCCCTACTGAGAGAGCAGAAGGACGTCAGCCAGCGAGGACTTAGATCCGTGGGCTCCAGGCGCTGGCGCCTGGGAGACCCAGGTGAGCGAGACGCGTGGTGGACCTGCCTCTCAGGAAGGAGGCAGTGGGGAGGCACTGGGGAAGACAGTGCCAAGAAGGACAGGAAGGGCTCGGAGGTCGGCGAGTGACAGAAGCTTTCGAGGATGAGACGAAATGCAGGCAGCGTGGCCCTCCCAAGCCTAGCGTCTCTCCAGGCTGCCCCTCCTGGGAGGGACACTGTGGCCCCTCCAGGCTTCCCTGGCAGTGGTGAGGGAGCCCCTGTGCCTGCCAGGGTCTTTCTTGGCCTGCAGTGTGTACAGTGTCTCTGCAGAGCCCAAGGCACCAGCTGGCTCTTGCTAGGTCAGGGCGGGAAGCAAGGAGACCATGACGGGTCCACCCTGATGGCCAGCTCGATGGGGTGAAGTGGTTCGGAGATGGAGGACTGGACTCCCATCTGCCGTGAGCCCAGGGTGGCAGGCACAGGTCACCAGGGACGTGATGTGGAAGAGGACATCAATGCTGGGCTCTCTTCCTGCTCACTCTGCTTCTGGGCTGCCCTGAGGCACAGCTGTCCCGTCAGGCCCTTCTGCTGTGGCCTTTCTGCTCGCCCAGCTTGGGCCACAGGGTGAGAGCCTGCAGGCTGCACCCGACACTGTGACCCACCTAAACCTTTCCTCCTCTAGGTTGATTTTCCCAGGTATTTTGTCACAGCAGCAGACAGCTGCCTGACATAGAGACTATGGGTAGTGATTGTGCACAGAGACTGAACCCCAGAAAGATCTCCAGCAACCAAGAGACAGAGTGGAAGCCATCCTCAGCCCTTTGGATAAACCATTACCTTCAAAAGCAGGTGCTCTGAGGTGCACATGGGTCTTCTCCCTTAAAGTTCAGACAGCATAGGACTTCAAATGTTAAATTAGGGCAGGAGGATTTTTCTCTCCTCAAAATGCAACTCTGAAAAACCCAGACAGAGCACAAGCCTTGAGCTGGTGGGGTTCATATTCGGGCAGGCATGGGTTCTGCCCCGCCCTGCTGCTCCTGGGCTCCTCACAGACCCTCTCTGAGCTGAGACCCGAGGAGGGAATGTTCTCCAGTGTCCACAATGGGTCACAAAAAGGCACCTTCTGTCCAGGCCTGTTCCAAGGTCCCTGTGACCCCTCCTGCTTCATGCAGAGCCACTTGTCCCCCATAGGTCGCTGCTGCTCCTGGAGGTCTTGGGGAACCCCCTGCCAAGCAAGCCCAGAGCTTCTCTAGTGGCCCCGAGGGCATATCACCTCCTACTCAAGGTCCCCCATGACATTCCCCCCCCCCCACGTGAACCCCACTGTCACTGACTTTGCTGGGTGCACTAAAGAATGATCTTTGTGCTTTCCCTACAGCCCTCTGAATCCTTCCTCCACGATGACCTTCCTAACTCCTGGGGCTTTTCATTCTCATTTTTTGTGATAACTTCTCCATTATGCAGAGGAGTCACGGTGTGTCTCGGTCCCTCTCCTAACCAATTCATTTATTTTCTTGGCTGGCTATACCCTGCGCAAGGTGCCACATATGGCCGAGGAATTGTCCTCCCCCGGGGAATTTGGACATGAGTCAGAACTATTCTGTGGCCTCTGCTGGCTGAAGTATGTGTTTTATTTCATGAAATCTGCTCTTTAGACCCAGAGGTCATAAAATTGAGCATGGTCCAGGGAGAACAGATTGGCTCCACTGTCATAGAAAGTCCTTGTCACAGAAGGTGTCAAACGTGGACGCGGCATCCACAGGGGGCACTGCAGGGCCCTTTCTTCCCTCTTCACCTGTTCTTATTTTTCCGGATCTTTTGCAATAAGCTTGAAATACTTGCACAATACAAATGATAAGATACTTTTATAAAAATGAAAAAAAGAATAAAAATGATACAGAATTCCTTTCTTTCTTTCTTTCTTTCTTTCTTTTTTTGTCTTTTTGAGAGTTTCACTATGCAGTTCAGGCTGGCCTTGAACTCCCTTTGTAGCTCATGCTAGCCTAGAACTTGCAGCGATCCTCCTGCCTCAGACTCACGAGTGCTGAGATGACAGGCATGTACCACCACACCCAGCCTCAGAATTTCAAAACAAAAAAATAAAAGATTAACACTGGTTAATATATTGCAAATGGTTATCTTCAAAGTAGTTGTTCATTGTGTATGTGTGTGTTTCTGAGACAGGGTCTTGTGATGCAGTCCAGGCTGGCCTTGAGCTCACTATGTAATCCAGGTTGGTCTCCAACTTGCAACGATTCTCCTGCCTCAGCCTCCCAAGAGCAAAGTAGTTGTTTAGTTTGCAAGATACAGGCATAAAAATAATGATCAATCAAGCAATGAAAGCACAAACCGTTCTTTTTGATGATAAGATATTCTTTAAGTTCCCTAAAGTAAATTCCCTAAAATCTCCTAAAACAAGAAGGAAAAGGCAGATACAAAGCAAAGCATCTCATGTGCGGTGTGACCCATCGTGTTACAGGACGGCAGATGCTCCAAGAAGAAGCGATGCTCATACAGTTGGGAAACACTAAGTTAAATGAAGCCAAGTGGATTCATTCCCTGTAGGGCTGCTTGGAGCTTTTAGTGCACTAATGGATGTGGTGACCTTTGGGAGGGTCTGGCCTCTGGACCCCCATTCCAAGGAGCACCCCCAGTCCGACTAGGTGCTGAAAAATTGTAGCAAAGCCTAGGAAGCCAGGAAATGCTCCAATCCCAGTGGGCCCAGATCTAATGTGATCTGTGGAATTGATGGAGCCGTGCGAGGCTGGGAAATGTGAGACCACATCGGCTCTCAGACAGGAGGTCTGCTGCGCTCCCCAGCGCAGTCATGTGTGGTCAGGCCCATTACGGATTTCCCAATCAAAAGATCTGGAAGCGTGCAGAGATGTTCTTGAAGATTCGTTAGCAGGAGCATTTTGGGTCAGCAGAGGCTACAGGTCTGGGATTGTCTACCCTGACTCCCAGGAGTCCTCCGAGGGGCAAGTTCCAGGTGCTCACGGTGGCCTGTTTTGATCCCACATCCCCAGCCACTGTCTTCCCTGCCCTGCCATACTTGTTCCAAGAAACAGGATCTCTTCTGGCGAGACCAGCAGTGCCCAAGCCTTTGCTGGGCTTCCCGGATTCAGATTCTCCAAACCAAGCTCCCCTCGCCCTGGTGAGCTGAGGACAGTTCCACTTTGCTTCTGACAGGGGGCAGCATTTAGTTTCCTGTCACAGCGAGATTCACTCCCCTGGCTTGCAAATAACTCCTGCTCCAAATAAAGAAAAACAAATGGAAATGTGGATTTTAATCACCCTGCAGGGAGTGAAAGGCTGTGTCAGCGTTTCCATGGCAAGCGTCGGCTTTCAGAGCTCCATCACCTCAGCTGTAAAAATATGCTTTGTGCTAGGACTTGGCGGCACCAAGCCTGCAGCCACTTCAAATCTATGTATTATTAAAGATTTGGTTTCCAGTCAAGTGGGAAACGTGACTCTAGCTGCAGCCTGGGTGATCCTGCCCCCTGCAGCTGGCCACCCTGCTGCCACCTCCCCTGCTAGCCACCAGCGTGGAGAGCAGCAAAGGTGTGGCGGCTGGACCTTCCCAGGCTGCTTTGTGTGCTGGGGCTGGTGGCACAGAGAAAGAGGGCCTGGTCCTCTTGGCGGTGCAGCCTGGCCTGGGGACCCGTGGATGACTTCTGCAGAGCACCAGGGGGCTTGCACTTGTCCCAGGATCACTGGGGATAAAGGGGAGTTGGCAGAACCACATGTGTGCCCCAGGCCCCTTGGCCCAGGGTGCCGAGGCCACAGCACCCCAGGGGAGGAAATCTAGGTTGAGTAGACTTACTCTGATTCTATCCCACAACATGAGCTCCTGGGTATAAGGGGAACAGAGACAGTGACATTTTATGAACAAAAAAGAAAGGAAAATGGGGTTCAGTTTTTGTTGTTGTTTTGCAGTACTGGGAATTTAATCCAGGGCCTTCACCTGTGCTAAATTTGAGACAAGGTCTCACTAAATCACTAAGTTGCCAGGCTGGGGATTTAGCTCAGCAGCATAAGCACCTGCCTTGCAAGCACGCAGTCATGAGTTTGATCCTCAGTGCAAAATATATATATATAATCACAAAGTTGCCCATTCTGGACTTAAACTGCAGCCTTCCTGCCTCAGCCTTCTAGAGTACTAGAAGATAAGTGTGGGTCATCATGCCTAATTTAGGACTCAGATCTGGTCTTTATGTGACATCACATCAAAGCCACCTCTGTGTGGCTTTAAATAAGACCAAATTTTCAGAAACTTTGGTACCTCTTTTATTTTAAATAGGGCAGTAGGGATGGATAAGATAAGAAAAGAACAGGACATAAGCTTTTGATGAGAAGCCGCGAATCTTTAGACTAGGCTTGGAGCTTCTCAGAAAGTCACATCATGGAGTACTAACACTAAAGAGCCTGGCCAGATGTTTAAAATGAAGCCTGAGGGAACTGGAGGCCCACAGAAAACCTAGAAGTAATCTTGGGGGCCTAGCGAGCCACACGTCTACCCAGAGCCAGGCGCAGGCTGCAGGGAAACAAGAGACCGTGTCTTGCACTCGAGCTTATCCAGACTCTGCACAAGCAGACAGGGAACACTCAGGCAGGGGGTGGGCTGCTTTGTGTCAGAGGCAGGTCCAGCACCCAGAGCCCCGTGGCTAGGGTGCCAGATGTGGGAGTTCGGCAGGTTTAAGTCATCACTGCTCAGCTGACAGCAGAATCTTCTGTGGCCACAAGCAACCCAAGAAAGTTACCAGACAAACAGTGATGACAAGAAACCCTAGAGAGGGAGGAGTCTGGTTTTCACGCATGCCACATAGTGTTACCTAATACAGTGATCAAAAAATTATACTTGGGAAGAAACAGAAAGTTGTAGGCAAATATGAAGAAAAGAACAATGACTAGAATCTGTCCATGCAGAGGGCGCTCCCTTTAAACACTTTAAATCAGCTGTTATAAATAGGTACAAATAATTAAGGGAAATCAGGTATAAAAGATAAAAGGACAATATTATAATGTCCCATCAAATAGCTTAAGGGGTAGAAATTGCAAAAGAAATGTAAAAAGGAAATTTTAGAGTTGAAAAGTGCAATACTTGAAATGAAAAGTTCACTAGAGAGGCTCAAGAAAAGATCAAGCAGAAGGAAGAGTAAACAAGCTTGAAGATAAATCTATCGAGATGTGAGATGTCTTATTTGATGAAGACAGAGAGACGAACAAAAACAAACAAATGAGACAGCTGTGGTGGTGCAGGCCTAAAATGTCAATAATTTGGAAGGCTGAACGGGAGCATTACAAGTCTGAACCCAATTCAGACAACTTGAGAAGAACCTGTCTCAAAATAAAAAAAAAATTTAAAAGGCGGAGGTATGACTCAGTCTGCAGACCCTGGCTTCAGTTCCTAGTAACACACACACACACACACTGGGGCTTTAGAAAACCCATAAAATTCTATCAAGTGTACCAACACATGTATAAAAGAATCCCAGAAGGAGAGAAAAATGAGAAAGATATGGTAAAAATACTTTAGGAAATAGCACCAAAGTTTTCTACATTCAATGAAAACTATTTAATCTATATACCCAAGAAGTCCAATAAACTCCAAGTGAGACAAACTGAAGCCAATGTCAAAGTCAGAATGTTCCAAGTGGAAGATGCAGAGAACCTTGAGAGCAGCAAAAGAAAAATGACCCACCACATACAAGGGATCTATAATAGGGTTACTCAAGTGGAGGTCCGAGGCTGTGGGATGATATGAGTCTGAATAGCAAAAGATTATCACTCAAGAATTCTACAGTCAGCAGCACCGCCTTTCAGAAAGGACAGTGGAGATAAGATATTTCAGTTCAGCAGAACTAAAGGGAATTTGTCACTAGCACACTTACAAGAACTGCTAAGAGGAGTCCTTTGGCCCGAAATCTAGGAACAGGAAGGTAATGCACACACAGGAAAGAACGCTGGCAAAGGAAATGGCCTAAGTGTTACAGGAGACAGTGTGCAATTCTGTTTTGCTGTCACTTCTCCTATTTGATTTCAAAGGCAATAGCATAAAGAATGCTGACCTATATCAGGTGTAGAGATGCGATTTGCATGACAACAGTGCCAGAAAGGAGGCAGGAGAGAGCGGAGGCACAGCTGAACAAATCCTCTGCATGCTATTGAAACTGTAGATTATTCTGAATTTCTATATTCAAAATATAGAAAAAAAAAAACCACAGGAGTAAACCAGGCATAGTGACACATCCTTGCCTTCCCAGAACAGACAATATAGCAATTTAGCAAGGCCCTGTGTTAAAAGTTTTTAACTATTACAAAGAATGGGGACTTAGCTCAGTGTGAAGGCCTTGGGTTCAACCCCAAGTTACCTCAAAACAGACAAACACACACAACATAGAAAAAAGAAAAAAGACACAAGGGAACTGAAACGCTACATTAGAAAACATCTATTTAACACCAAAGAAAACAACAATAAAAAAGGAACATAGACATAAGACACATACACAGAACAAACAGAAAAATGATAGGTGGAAACAAAATTTGGAAGAATATGTGTTAAAAGAATGTTTTTCACTGAGTACCAAATGATAATTCTTTTTCAAATTTTTGCTTCACCTTTGAAGAAGCAGTAAAATCACATAAAATCAGCCCCCAAATCCTTGTAAGTCTCTCAAGCGAGAAGTCAGATGCCAGATCCCCAGGTCTCTTTCCAGAGAGCTGCCAGGGCGGCCAGCCCCTGGACTGCACACTCTCCCCACCTGCCTGTTTTCACCAAGCTGCGAATCTTTGCTGTGTGGAGATTTAGCTCGTGTCTTCATTCTCTCCAGTGGGTGACAGCTCTGTTCTACAGCTGCACCGTTTGAGAGATGCTTTACGCTTTATGCTCACCCATTTCCCTGTTCGCTTTTGCATCTAGCAGGTATCTTGCTTGCAATCAGAAAGAAACGCAGCTATTTCTTCCAAAGAAGCGCAAGCACTGAGGATTCCAATCTCAGTCAGAGCCCCAGGCGAGGCGCACCAGGCGCCCAGAGAAGAAAGCCTGAGGCCCAGGAGGCTGGCCCCAGCCACTCAGGAGTCCTTCCTCCTCCCCTTCACTGCCCGACTCCCCAGGGAGGAGGAGCGCATTGGAGCTCACTGAGGTCAGTGGAGCTGGCTCTCCTCCCTAGGTCCCTGCCTCCTCTCCCGGGATCGCGGTCCTTGTCTTTATCCTCAGGCACTCTGAGAGGTCACATGGGACCTCCGAGCTTCTTCGGCCATTTTACCACGTGATGCTGAACCCTTCGGCACGGTTGCCTCCCCTGTGCTAGCAGCAAGCTGCAGTATCTCTCTGGCCTGGCTCCCTTGACCCCAGCAGCAAGTCAGGGGACAGCTGGCTGCCGGGTGGCACTGTCACCCCATTCTGGATGGGATCCTGGCTGGCACTCTGCGTGCTAGCTGCTGAGGGGAGGCCAGCATGGGGATGGTGGGGTGCAGGGCCTTTCTAAGGAGCTGCTGCACACCCCCCCCCCACCTCTGCTGACTCAGCCTCCACAAGGCCCCTCTCACTGGCCCACTCCCCAGGGGCCCACCACTCTGTGGGTGGACCCAAAGGAGGAGGAAGGAAGAGAGCCTTGGGGCCACGACTCTTGTTTCCCGGAGACCAGTTACATCAAGCTCACGCCCTGCACTTTGGTTTTATTTTTTATGTCATGTGTTCATTTGACTGCTCACTGAATCAAAACGGTAGCAGCATACCCTGCTGCACCCTTCAAGACTCTCCCTTCCCCTTCTGCCCCACATGGCCTCTGCCCTCTGGGCGGGACCCTTGCCTCAGTGACCTTTCATAGTGCTGGCCCAGCCTGACCACAGCTCTGGGCCTGCCGTACTGCTGGGAGTGCATACTTTTCCCTCTGCTTCTCTGCCATTAAGCTGGACTTTTGTGTCTTTTTAATTTAATTGAATAATCTTATCACATGCTTCCTGATAACCCAGACTATCTCCCTGGCCGGTGACCTGGGTGGTCCGGCAAGGGCCGCCTCCAGCCGTTCCTCTGGCCCTGGCCTGCAGAAATCCTTGGTTTCTGGCATTCTGGGCTGAAGGCACCAGGGCCCACGGTCATGCTTCAGTCCTCCTCCCCAGGGAGGTTTCCTGGGATTTCTGATGAATACATTTTTGAGAAGGAAAAGAAGTCATAAGAGTCAACATTCTAGGTACGGGAGTTAAATTACTAGAAATTGGCCCAGAACAAGGATCAGGTATTTTTGCTCTAAGAAGTTCCTCCTCGCTGAGCTCAGAGGAACACATCTGGCCTTGGCTCAGCCTGGGCCTGGGGGATCAGGACCTAGCACTGCAGTGAAACAGCCCAGGCAGGCCCAGGGATTTCCACCACTGCCTCTACAAGGGCTTCCGTGGCCACTGCAAACCTTCACAGAGCGGAAGCAAAAGGAGCTTGCCCTGGTGGAGCCGGGGAACCAAGCTGGGAGGCAATTTATCAGCAGCGTGAAGCCCCGTGGCCCAGAGCAAACTCTCTCTCAGTGCCTGGCTGAGCCCATAACTCTTTGATGCTGACAAACCAGTTATTTGAAATGACGCTGACGAACAGCGTTAATCAAGCAGCTTTTATAGCCTGGGCCTCGGGGAAGATGCTTCCTATAATTCATCCTTGATGTGTTCTTTCATGTCGCTCTTGCCACCTCCCAACCTCGCCAATGAGGAAACGGAACTCCCTGAACTCGACTGTTCAAGGAATCACACCCTGCCCGGCTGAGTCCCCGTCCAGGGCACTGCCGGCCAGTCTGTCCCTCCATCTGGCAAGCAGTTTGTAAATATGTATCAACAGCTCCCAAACATTCCTGCTCTCTGACCCAATAACCCTGCTCTGGGAAAGTGTTCTCGTGAAATCGTTCGGGAAGTATCTTACAGTTCACTGTGGCTAAGGGCGCTCTGGGTTCACCTCTTCGTTTCCCAGGATCCCACTAAGAGGGTGGAAGAAACAGCATAAATGGAGCCCGGGTGGTGGTGGGCAGTCAGGAGTGGGTTGCTGTCCCGAAGCGGGAGGGGTTTCTGGGAACAGGGACGCCAGTCTAAGAGCAGCCTGGCGATGAATCACAGCAGAAGCTGTGATGCGCAATCACGGCAGAGTGGATTCCCCACCGGACGCCAGGGCAGAGGCCACAGCACCAGGAGGAAGGGTAATCTCAAGCAAACAGGCAAGAGAGTTAAGAGAATGCCCCATTTACCTAAAAACAAAGCCTCTGTGAAAACATACCATCAGAGTCCTTGGAAATTAAGGCCATGCTTGCTGAAACATTTTTAAAAACTCAACGTATGGGCTGAACAGACAAATGAAAAGAAGGTTAGCAAACTGCAAGATCAAGCTAATGGGTCTCCCAAAAGCTATTAGAAGAAAAAATGAGGAGAGGCCATCTTTCTGAAAGTCAAGTGATATTAAGTGTACAGCCAGTGATAACATCTTTAGAAAAACACGGAGAGAGCTAGAAAAAATACGAAAGACATAGTAGAAGAAAATGTTGTAGTCCTGGAGGAAGATGGTAGATGCAGTGATACCTCAGTTCGGGAACTTAATTCATTCCGTGATTTTGGAAAAGAGGCCACGTGTGTGTTCATGCGGGAGAGATGGCCGTGGCTGTGTTGGTCACCCGATGCAGTTTGCAAACACAAATTTTGCCAAATGCTGCTGATTCAGAACCAAGTTATTTGCAAATAGAAGTATTCATGAAGAAGGTACCACTGTAGAAAAAGATTTATTGAATGACAATACAAAGAGCTGAGCAAGAATAGAAGCTAACTTCTAAAACTCAGTGTACAAAGAAGCAACAAACCTAATGAGAAATGAATGGAGGGGCAGACAATTCACATAAGAGAATGTAAGTATTACTCACAAATAGATGAAGAAATCTCAGCCTGACACATTCCTGGGGAAGTATAAATTGTGCCTCTCACCCACCATCAATTTACTATAAATGAAATAGACCCCAAGATCCAGTGCTGATACTGATGTGATGTCAAATTTTTCATAACCTTCATTTGTTCCACCTTTCCAGAGGCCATCTGGGCCGCAGCTATGCAGAACTTAGAGGGAACTCAGCATTAACATCTCTAAGAATCACTGGGCAAATATATTCCTCCAGGTCCACAAAGATGTGTGTCCAGGATGTTGATTAGACACTGTGTACAGTGACTCTTATAAATTAGATGCTATTAAAAGAAGGAGTAAGCAAATGATAGTACGCCTGTGCGTACATATCTGGACACATCGTGGACTTCCGTGTAGCATCAAGAGAACTAAAATGCATGTTTACATTCCGACACGGAAAAACTTCTAAAACAAAACAGCCAGTATCAAGGTGTGAGTCCACTCTGCTTTTTCTTGCCAATAATCCATCAGCTCAGGACTATTCTCTTGTATTATTTCTCTTCCTCTTTTCCTCTGAGAGTTGTATTAGAAGCATGTTCAAACTTCCAGGCCTTTGCTAGTTTTCCTCCTGTACCCTATACGTTTGCTAATTTGTGTTCCCTTCTGGCATCTAAGAACCTCAACTAGGTTTTGTGAGTGACAATACCAACTTGCTCTTTGCTGTTTCATTGCTGTCTGTGCTGGTTTTTAGACGTGGGTAGACAGACTTAGTCTGGTGTGTTTAATTATTTCTATTTACAAATCGGCCTGCTTGTGTGGATGTGACGTCCTCCTCAATTCCTCTGGGGATGCTGCTTTTGGAGGCCCCTCACTCTTGCTCTGCTAATCTGGGTTTTTGGGAGAGTGGGCCAGGGGCCCCCCTTTCAAGATGCTGGCTCTAAAATAGTTTGCCTTCCTGTCTCCTGTGACCCCCCCTGCACGGAAGACTTTAACATTTGGTGGTTTTTAGAGCTGCCTAGCTTGTGGGGATGGGTTCCCTGGCACTTCTGAGGGAGATGTAGACCAGTACAATCATTTCTGGAGGACAATATAGCAAAATCCTAAATGTATGTAAACCTCCATTGAGCTGGTTCCATTTTGAGGTCTACACAAAGATATTTGCTGCAAGTTTATTTGCAAACATGAGAATTACAAACATCTTAAATACACACTATGAAGTCCCATGGCCCAGTGGGAAATAATGAGATACGACATGAGCTGCTGATAGGAAAAGATCATGAAGGCTTGTCATTCAGTGAAAATTGCAGAAAGACCCACACAATGTGTTGAATTTTTAAAAAGTCCATGAATCCAATCTCCACTGATATTTCCATAGTACAAAGAAAACAGTGGAGTTTAAAGACCCAGCTCATAATAGATGTTATACTTGTTATACTTGTTATACTTGTTAGTGAGAATGAGGAGGTTCATTTTTTAAATATTAATGAGAAAAAGCAAGTTATACAGTATGAATTTTTAAGGGCTGGACATATAGCTCAAGGGTGGAGAGTGAGCTTCGTGTGCCCGAAGCCCTGTGTTCAATCCTTAGCTCTAAAAAAACATTAATGTTCTAAAGGTAACCAAAGGTCAGGGGAGCAGTGTCCAAGGTCACCAGGACATGCACTGGCTGAGGCTCCAGCTTAGCTTCATCTGGCTGGAGCCCACCCTGGGGGTGTCAGCTCGCCATGTCTGCTTGTCTCTGTCCTGGATCTGGCAGGGTTTGGGCAAGGCACCCAAGGTCCCTAAGACACCATAGAACTGGTATGGAGCTGGGGACCGAGTGGGAGCTCTTGTGTTCCCCGTCCTGGTGGGGACCCTTTCCCAGAGCCCTGCTTAGGAAGAGTGAGAACATTTAATAAGATACAGAGATTGCTTTACTTATTGATCAGAAGACCTACAAAATGTTTTCCAAAGTTCTTACCCCTCATAATAAGCTACAGAAAAGGGGGTCACACCAAAGTCAGATCCCTGGGAACTGCAGCAGAGTTCAGACATCTGCTTAGTTTGACGACGTGACCCCTCTCACCCTTTTTCTGGGATTGGGAAAGGCAATAATTACCCTAAAACCTGCTTTGGGGAAACTGAGCCACCTAATCACATTTTCCTCCACATGTTGACATAAGGAAACAGGACAAGCAGGGAGTCTGCATGGCGCTGGAGAAGGGTCTTGGGGACGACACTTGTTCTGTCTAACACGTTGTTTCTTCCCCATATCTGTGGATCCACATGCAAATCTCTGGAAGGAGCTGATTCCCCTGGGTGGTTGGTGGCCCTTGGGTCACCATGGGCCCAGGGGCCAGGAATGCTTCTGCTGTTGGAGGCACCTAGGGGCTCTGGCCCCAGCCCCAGAGTCCCCCAGGGTATAGCTGTCCCCACAGGCTCTGAGAGCAGAGGCTGAGCTGGGCCCTGGGGTCCAGGGCAGAAGAGCAGGAGCTTCATCCCTAGAAAGATCTGGGTGAGCTGCTAAGGGCGCAGGAGCCCCAGAAGCAAGGACAGGGAACAGCGCAGAGTGCTGACTCGAACTCACTGTCCACCCAGAGGCCTGGACAGCACAGACCGCTTGTGAAGGTTGGTGGCAGAAGCTTCCGTGTCCTTCGGGGAAGCCACAGGCCACATGTGGTTCCTGACTGTGATAAGCAAAAATTAAAAAATCTCACAATTCTCTACTGATTGGATAAATGTGAAAATGATGGTATTTTGTCTACCTGGAGTTGCGCAGAAAATATGGAAATTAGTCGTACCTGTTCCTCTTAATTTTTTCTAACGCAGCTACTGGAAGATTGAACCTTCTGTATCCGGCTTCTTTTGGATCCTCTGGTGGGGGCAGGGTTCCTGCAGGGAGGACACAGCCCTCAGGCTTGAGCAAAGCAGCTGGAGGGGACTTGGAGACACAAGGGAGCTCAACTGCTTTGTGAAGGAAAGGGAGAGGGGCAGAGCTGGCCGAGGACCGGCAGGCGGGGCCATGTCAGGTCTCAGGGGAGAGAGACTAGAAGAAAGGATGGAGAAGCCCCAGTGACACGCAGTGGCAGGGGCCAGGGAGACAGATGGTGGAGAGAGCTCCCGGGGCCAGGCTGGCAGTGGCTCTTGCCAGCTGGGAGGACTGCTGACGTCCATGGCTGCGTGTGCTGTGGCACCCCACTGTCCCCACACCCCAAGGACTCGATGTTCCGCCAGGGCCTAGGGCTCCAGGCCCTGTGAGGGGCGGGGGAGCTGGGGTCCTGCAGTGTGTGGAGACACAGCTGAGAGCCAAGAGCAGGAAGGGAAGGGAGGAGCCAGGGCAGGATGAAGGGTCAGGCGACGTCCAGCCGAGCAGGACACCCTACACTTCTTGGGCATATCTGGAGGGGAGGGCACTGCGGTGCTTCAGAATCCCAGGGAAGGGACACCCCATAGGCTGGGGGATATGGATACTGTGGGCCACTTCCCCACCAGAGCAGACGACATAGGTGTCCTCGTCCTCAGGGGAGTTTGATGGCATTGCAGAAAAGGTGAGGAGAGGGACGTGGCCTGTGGGGAGACGTGTACCTGGGAAGAGCTCCCTCCGGCACAGGCTTGGAGCACCCACAGGACAAAGCCTCTCGGTTATGCTATGTTGATTCCTGGCCATGTGTAGCTTTCTCGACCAGACAAGATGAAACCAGAAGGGATCTGCGCTGCCTCAAATCGGATTACTCGGGAATCAGGCTCACACAATCCAGACCTCTTCCCAGGCAGCGCCTGGCCACAGACAGAAAAACCCACGGGGCCAGGGAAGCTGCTCTCCGAGCAGCTGTGTGGACCAGGGCCACAGCCAGTGCTAACCCCCTGCTCCCCTCCCTCCTCCTGCTGTCCTGCGGTCCTGGCCTTGGCCACCAGAGTCTCAGTGTCATGGGGTTGTCAACTGGCTGGAGAGATGGTGAGATTAAACTGCCAAGGAAGCTGACCTTGGAGAGCAGGGTCAGACAGCCGCCTCCCCTCCCTGGAGACCGAGGGCAGCACTGTCATAGTCACGCAGACCTTGGGAGGGGCCTGCGGGCTGACCTGGCCGCTGAGGAGCCAGCACCCTGCCACACTCCCACTTTGGAAAGGTGACCCCTGGGCCACCGGTGGCAGCAAGGCAGATGCGAGGCCCCAAGCCATTCGGGAGAAGGGGCCTCCTGTGACGTTGGACCTCAGGCTCATGAGGAGGGAGCTCTGGACTGTGCCCTTTCTCAGTGCTCCTAGAGGTAATCAGAGGCCTGGGTGTAGGCACAGAGCCAGCATTCAGAGAGCTGGTGCTCACTTCCTGCCTAATCCACGGAGTCACCCTCTAGAGGCTCGGAGAGGCAGGCGCCATGCAAAGGCAGCTGGGAGCCAGTGCTCACCCTGGGTCACCCATGAGTCATGAGGCGTGGGGTCCACCCTGATCCCTGGACCCTGGCGTGGCTCCGTCTTTGCCCTGGACTGCAGGGCTGGGAGCAGGCACGGGCTGCACGTAGCTCTGGAGGCTGCCTTTCCTCCCTGGGCCGTGGGCTCCAGGAAGGGAGAGGTGGTGTGAACACAGGGCAGGAGGGCGGTCACCTGTGTGGCGTGGCCTCAAGTGCAGGGCCAAGGTCAACTTCTGCCTGCTGTGTTGCTATAGGCTCCCTTCAGGGGATAGGTACAGCACTGCCAAATCCAGCTCTTGGTCCAAACATCTAGGCACATGTGGCCTGACCACAGCCTGAACTATCCGGAAGCATGGTCTCTGGCCTGGGTAAAATGCCATCTCGTCTGTTCAAGTGTTCCCCCTGGCTTGTTCACCCTGGGTTGGATGGCAGGCAGATACAAGGACAGGGCGATTTTGATTGGGTAATAGGGAGCCATAGAAGGCTCTGTGGAGAGAGTGGGTCTGCCCTTCTCAGAGGCAGAGCTGACAGCAGGAGGAACCATGCATGAGCTGGAGAGACCAAACACACCCAGGCCCCTTCAAACACTACCAGGAGGCGGTAGGGACAGCACAGTGCCCCTAGCTAACTTTGGGGAAAGGCTTATGCCAGGCTCTGTCCAGGCCAAATGATTTTCAAGCATCCTCACAGTGTCCAGATGAAAATCAGACACACAGAGAGGTACAGTGCCTGTGTTTACATGGCTGGACACAGTGGAGCTGGACTTTGGACTCCTGGCTGGCAGCTACTTGAGGGTCCCTGCTCCCCAGTGGGGTTGCACAGCCTTCTCACAGCCATCTGGCCCCATGGAGGCAGCGGGTGAGGTGGCTCAGGCTCTCCTGAGTGTCCTGAACACATGCAGCGCACACACCGAGCTACTTCAAGGTGGGGCCCTGGATGCAGCCCAGCGGAACTACAGGAGGAAAGTATGTTCGTAGCCGGTTTTTAAAAACCAATCTTCCTTTGTCAGCTGGAGCCTTGGCGAACATCTGGACCGACCTAAATCAAGCCTTTGACATTTCCAAACAATCTTAGGTAACAGAGCAAATGTGCTTCAGGCTTCGCAGCCAGAGGCCTCAGCTCTCTGAGATCCTGGGTGCACCGCAGGCCCCTTCTCCAAGGTGCTCTCCTGAGAGAGCCCCAGCTTCTCAAGCCTTGGCCAGACGTGACTCCTGTGCAGCCCCCAGCTTTCTCTGCACGGAGCTGTGGAAGGTCTTAGAGCCCCCTGTCCACTGTGCTGAGTCCAAGAGAGATATGTGTCATGCCCAACAACTGCAGGGACTGTCACCACAGCTCTGGCCTGCTGGTGACCCGAAGCAAGTGACTGCACTTCTGTGTTTCTATTTCCTTATCTGGAAGATGGGTGTGACGTGGTGCTGCAGGGAAGGTCCCAACAGGAGGGCTTCTTCCAGGGTCTTGGTGTCCTAAACAGAGAAGTGGACGAGACCCACAGGGAAGGGCACAAGTGAAGGTGGAAAAGAAGTTCGCTGTGCAGAGTGAGGGCAGCTGGGTGGCAGCCTCGCAGTGACCTTGAGGACAGGAGAAGGGAGCTTTTGTATCAAAACCCCTGGGTTGGCTTCCCTCTCACGCGAATGAGGCAATGGACAGTCGTCCCCTCCAACTCCACTTGATGTCAGGTGTGTGTACCCTGCCCTGCTGAAAAACTCACTGGGTTTCCTACCATATGTAAGTGATCAGGAAGTACCTTTTGATCAGCAATGCCAATATGCAAATAAAAATAGAAAGGAGCATTTCTGATTGGGCCTGTGAACAGCACCAGATTCAAATGAAGGATGAAAGTAGCACTTTTTTGATTTGTCCACAGTGCTCAGTTACAAGCCTGAGGTCGATGTGGGTCTGTGTTCTGGCAGGTGCTTAAGTCACTGAGCTAAATCCCTGGCCCCGGGTCTGTGTTCTGTGCATGTCCTTTCTTTTTAGGACCCACCTCCCTTGACCCCTTAGCTGTGGGTTTTTCATTCTGCCCAGTTAGTTGTCCTGTTTCCCCCAGCCCTGACTGCTCCCTCAAGAATGATATAAACTTTGGTACAGGGTTGTGATGGGATGCAGCGAGACGTGAGGACGTCATTAGATAGGTCCTGGGCTCTGATTTGTCCTGCTTTGGATGTCATGTGGCTGGGGTGGGAGTCATCATAGACTCCCATAGGCTTCCTGCATGGCCAGCGTCCCCCGGAGCATCTCCTTCCTCTCTTGGTGCCCTTTGTGCTCCCTAGAGAAAGGGCTCCTTGCCAGCATCTACAGACAGCATGGGGGGAGGGAGGGCCTGAGGTCAGCAGGTTGGTGAGCTCTCGCCAGTTCCGCCACACACGCTCTTCTCTGAGTCACCCCAGCTCCCTCTTGATGCTGTGCCAGCCACCGGGGCTCTGTGATGCCTGCTTAGGCAGGTGGTGGTGACACCATAGCCGAGGTGTGGGACCCGAGTGATGGCCTGTGGGTGCAGCCAGGCTATTCTGCCAAGGAAACGAAGTGACATGGGATGCCAGGCCGGCCTGGAAGGCCATGCCCACAGGTCCATGAGTGTATTTGTCATCGGAGAGCAGGTGGCACAGGGAACAAGCTCTGCACTGGGATCTTTCCAGCCGCTGAAGTACCTGGGAGTGATGGTGCGCTTGCAAGGCAGGCACTTATGCCCCTGAGCTAAATCCCCAGCCCCTTGCAATAACTTCTTTAAACAGTGTTTCCATGTTTATTCCCGTGTGTCTTCACTCAGCAGCAAATCACTGACAAGCCCAGGGCACAGGGGCAGTGATGGAGCATGGACCTTGCACCCTAGCGGTCCAGGGAAGGGTGGAAGCTGCCACCCAGGCCTCTCAGAGACAAGCCTGGTGCAGGGGCACCCCGAGGAGCCCACCTTCCCCCACGTGCAGGGGCTGGTTCTGTCCCCAGTGACGACCTTTCCAACCTCCCCCAACACACGCTTTGCCTTCCACCTAGCTGGCTCATCTCCCTCAAAACCCTCTGGCCCCCAGCCCATCTGAAATTCCCCCTTACTGAAGACAGGGGAGAAACAGCCCTCCCCAAAGGCAAGGAGCAGAAGCCAGGAAAGGCGAGAGTCCTGGGAGGCATCTCCCAGGGGAGGGACTGGCTGGGGATGATAGTGAAAATGTTGCTTGCTGCCATGACAACCACACTCACTCTGCTACAGTACCCAGGGCGCAGAGGCCATGGTACCAACCGACCGTTTATTCTCCAGGGGACCAGCGCCGTGGGAGGTGGAGGCCACAGGAGTAGGCTCTGGGCCTTAGTGGGAGAAGCGGAAGGCGGGGTGAGGTCGGCCCTTCTCTCCGGTCTGCTGTCCACTCTGACTTCTCTCCCAATCGGGCTCTCATGCTTCATCTGTATTCACCAGGGGGCTGCAGTGACCAGGAGCCCAGTGAGCCCAGCAACAGGGCTTGGCCACAGGCTGTTAGTGTGGCTTCTGACCCCAGCCGAGGACAGGGCGTGGCCCGTGCCAGGGTGACCCTGTGCCTGTGACAGCTCTCTGCAAGCCCACTCCCCAAATCCTGCCTGAGGGTAGGAGGCAAGAGGAGAACTCCACCCAATAAGAACACAGTTGCTGACAAAAAAAGCCCAAACCTAGTGATGGGAAACTAGAAATGACAGCAGGGACCCCATCCTAGCCACAGCTAAAGCGGAACGGTGCTGAGGCTGTTCCTCACTCCTCTCGGGGAAGGTTCTGGGTCTGGGCAGGAAGGTTCTGTTGAAGGTTTCTTCCAGCTGTGCCTTGAGCTGCACCAGCCACAGTCTGGGGATCAGTTGTTCCTAAGGGAGGGGCTGCCACTGCCAGAGGAGCTGCCACCTCCTCCATGGCCTCTGTGCCGTTTTTCCTTAGGTCAGGCACGGCAGCACCTGCAGACCCTGTGGTCTCTGGTTCATTCTGTATCCCCAGGGTGATGCGTAGGCTGCAGAGCAAATTAGCACCCCCACCCCATTCCACACAGCTACCACCCCAGTCCGTGGCGTAATGTGGTGTTCGAGGGCCTCAGTCATTACATCTCCAAGTGTGAGAAATCTTGGGCTGTGTGAGATACTCATCATAGCAGGCAGGGATTGCTGGCTGCCTCAAGGATTCTCCACGGAGAGGACCCTTGTGTGCTGGGCACTGGGGAGCAGAAGAGGGCATTGGGAGTGGACTGCTCTGAGCGGCCCATTCAGTTCCACATGGTACAGGGTGTCTGTGATTCCTCATCCTCTCGTGGCTTGTGGAGTTGGAAGCTTGATCGGTATGTGGATCAAAAGAAAGCTACTTAGCCCTGCAGGACATTTCCTTCCCGTTTCCTGGCATTGTTCAGCAGGGAAAGGTGGAACAAAGGCAGAATTTATTCACGGACAGGAGCTTCAAAGTCCAAACATCAAGGACATAGATCAAAATCAGCTCTGTCCCAAGTTCTCCAA